CTATTACAATATGATGTACCAGTTGCCTTACTCAACATTTATAAGCCTGCCATGTGGTATTTCACTTCGTGCCTCACTGTTGTTTTCTATTGTCTTTTTTATGCTGTTGGGAAACAAGTCAGCTGTAGTGAGTTCATTTTGAAGAATTTTCAATCTTAAAACTGAGAAGACGTAATAAGTTTATCATTCAGATATTGTAGATGAGGCTGATAGCGAACCAAATTCTACACTATCAATTGAAACTGATACTGGAGAAAGAGTGGACCATGTATTTGAAAAGACCCTCCTTGATTTGTATTCTGGTTGTGGTGCAATGTCCACTGGTTTGTGCTTAGGAGCGGCTAATAATGGTGTTAAGCTTGCTACAGTAAGCTTTGATTTGCATCTTCAAATTCTTGGGTTGTTTTGTATTAATAACACATCCCTATCTCTATTATATTGATAACATTCTTGTGCATAGAAATGGGCAGTGGATTTTAACAAACATGCATGTGATAGCTTGAGACTGAATCATCCAGAGACACAGGTACTGATAAGTGTGCATTACTTCAAATGATTTTATTCATCTTCATCATTACCCCAGTGCCGCAAAGGCTCCCACTTACGGTGGGGTAAGGGGGTCGGATGTACACAGTCTTACCCATTTACTAAAGCACAGAGAGACTGTTTCCGGATGACCCGTAGTGAGAATCGTGCCGAAAATTGAATGGACTGACCGTTGCTTCATAACAAAGAAGCGCAGAGAGTTTAGTGAGCCATTTTGCTTTATTCCATCATATTCCCAAGCCAAAAAATAGTGAGTCTTTGGCTCCATTGCAAATGATGGAAAATACTTCAAATGATTTTATTTTGCACTTTATTTTCTAATTGAGTTTATGCATCTTATATTATCTGTCCCTTCATTATATTAGGTGAGAAATGAACCTGCTGAGGATTTCTTATGCCTCTTGAGGGAATGGGAGCGCCTGTGTGTCTCTTGCTCCATAATAAAAAGCAACTCACTACCACACCCTTGTCTGAATCTTGAAAACCACAATAGCGGAAAGACTGATAGTTACAATGAAGAAGAAGACGATGAGTCTAACAGTGACGCAGAGGATGAAGTATATGAAGTTGAACAAGTAGTAGATGTTTGCTTTGGGGATTTAAAAAAAACTGGGAAGTCTGGATTGTATTTCAAGGTACTTTATTATTTTTCTTGTGCTTTCAGATAGGTTTAAGTTTAATAGATATGTTTTTATACAAATAATGTGTTTTATGCTTTTACATTTTATGAATGACATCTAGATACGTTGGAAAGGATATGGTGAAGCTGATGACACATGGGAACCTGCAGAGGGTTTGAGGTATGTTGGGACAGTTGGTAGCCAATACTTTGGTTTGTGTTGCTGTTTTACATAGATTTATTCAGTTCCCTTTTTGTTTATTTAGTTGGTTTGTTAATCCAGTGATTGTTTCGTATGCTTTTTATTTATTTTTATCTTTTTATCTTTATCTTTTCTTTATCATTATCTTTATCTTATCTTTTGTATCTTATTTTATCATGTTATTTATATATCTTTTTAGCTCCAATTTCATATATCGGTTCATGCTAGCTGACCCCAAATTCTTTTAGGACTAAGGTTTGGATATTACTGTTGTTGTTGTAGCGACTGTGAGCAAAAAATGAAGGAGTTTGTACATAATGGGTTTGAAGCAAAAATTTTGCCTTTACCAGTAAGTTTGTTCTGAGTTATTTTCTTGATCACCTTCTCTTATATGGTTCACTGCTCATACTTTATATAGAACATTTTATTGATCACTTGGGGGGAGGGGGTGTTGAAGTTCCATGGCTTTGCTAGCAAATGTGCCCATTCATGAATGCATCGTTTCGGACTACATTGTAACATTTATTTGATCCAGGGGAATGTTGATGTTATATGCGGTGGCCCTCCTTGCCAAGGCATCAGTGGACTCAACCGATTTAGGAACAGTGAGAATCCATTGGAAGATCCCAAGAACAAGCAGCTAGAAGTTTTCATGGATATTGTGGACTTCTTGAGGCCACAGTTTGTATTGATGGAAAATGTAGTTGATATCGTCAAATTTTCGCATGGTTTTCTGGGGAGATATGCACTCAGCCGACTTGTGGGGATGGATTATCAAACACGCCTAGGATTGATGGTGGCGGGATCATATGGACTTCCACAATTTCGCGCACGCGTCTTTATATGGGGTGCACTTCTTGGAGAAGTAATGTCAATTTCTTGTTTAGTATAACTTGACAAGTTGACATTACTGTGAATGTCTTGAATAAAGTGACTCATCTTATTTTGCAGAAGTTGCCTCAGTATCCTCTGCCAACACATAATGTTATTATGAGAGGCTTCCTTCCTACAGAGTTTGAAGTAAGATCTGTCAATGGCAGTTTCATATTCTTATTTACTTCTAACCTCTTTGCTTTGTCTTCTAACTACAATATGCTTATGCATGAATTCAGCCAAACATGGTTGCATATGATGAAGGATGTGGATATGGACTAAAAACTAAGCTTTTCCTTGGTGATGCAATCTCTGATCTTCCTCATGTATGAGAAACTCCCATGCTCCATTTTTGTAATATATATCCCCTTCTTTATGTATTAGTTAGTATAAATTGTTTTAGGTGAAGAATGATGAGTCAAGAGATGAAATGGAATATGTTGACAAGCCAAAGAATAGTTTCCAAAAATTCATAAGATTAGCAAGGGATGGTAAGTTCTTATGTATGAAATTACACGGAATAAATTATATTACATAAATATTGTGATGGTTATCTGCAAAATGCACTAATTATGTTTTGAATTGTGAACATGTGATGATTTTTTACTCTCTCCGTCTCATTTTACATGTCTTACTTTCCTTTGGTAATGTCCCAAAATAAGTGTCATATTTTCCTTTTTGAAAAGAAATATGTGGTCCACAACATTTGCTTTATTATACTCAAATCTCAACAACTTTTACCTTTTCAACCACTTTATTAATACATTATCATCTAAAGTCACATGTCTGGTTGGGTAGTCACCATATCTCTCACAACCACCTTATGCAAATATGTACCCTCCAATCATGTTTTAATTGTCCAAGTTTTCTTTATAGTTTGTCCTATAATTATGTCTATTTTTCTTTTTTGGACAACAACAAACCTTGTAACATTTTACATTTTTTGCAAATTGATATGACTTGCTACATAATTTACACAACTTTCTTGGGTTGGATAAGAAGATCATCTGAATATTATTTTTTACCTAATACCTATGCAAAACAATACCACGTATGAATTATAAATTGGAATGGAGGGAGTACTCAATGTGCATCACTGACATTTAATATCAATAGGGGCAATACCATTTTAGAATATCAATTTTGTGAGGAGACTTTAAGAGTATGACTTTGGAGTTTTCCCATTATTCCTTCAAACGTTTTTCAGAAGAAAAAAAGGATGACACCCCATCCCTGATCCCCCAACACCGACTGTACGGCACGATGGGAGGATGTAAATTGGATTATAATCACAATCTGACAGATAGAGAGTGGGGCTCCGTCCCCGGTACTTGCAGAGGCTCTATGCATTTTTAGCATAGTAACCTCTTATCGCAGTTGCCGAGATTCGAACCCGGGACCTAACCCTTGTGGCACTCCCTCGCTACCAGTTGAGCTACGCCCACCGGTAACAAACGTTTTTCGGAAGTTTGTGGTTAGAGGGCATCTAGCTTTAAAGTTTAAACCTCCGCAATGGTTTTTTATATAAATTTAATATTAATTAAGTCAAGCATTTTAATTGAGTATATTAAAATGTCGCTACATGACTGACATTTGAGCAAACATCGCTATTATTAGGTTTTGCATGAATTTATTTGTTAACAAATTTTAAATAAATTACAAAAATATTATCAAAAAATAGATTGTAGATAAACATGTTACTTGGCAAGTTTTAGTAACTATAATTATGTTCAAATATTAATCTTAGTGACTATAAACGTAGATTCATAATCACTTTAGTGATTTAGTCACATTTTTATTCCTGAGTTAGTTTTTAGATAAGATCTCTTTAAACAATGAAAGGACACTTGCATGTTTTATATCACCAAACTAGGGCTGGACTCGGGCCGGTTCGGGCCCGGTTCGGGCCCGGTTCGGGCCTGGGCCCGGCCGGGCCTCGGGCCAGGAAAGGGGAGGCCCGAGCCCGAACCGCCGGTGGCCGGTTCCGGTTCCGGGCCAAACCGGGCCGGGCCGGGCCGAATCGGCCCAATTAATTTTTTTTTTTGTTCTCCTTTTTAATCCCCTACCCCTCCCCCTCAACCCCAAACCATCCCAAACCACCTCAAATGGCCCAAAATACCTAATCCAACCTAAAACTTAAAAAAATTTCAAAAAAAAAAAAAATTAAAATCCGGCCCGGACCGGGCCCGAACCGGCCGGGCCGGTTCACCAAAAGCTGGGCCCGAGCCCGGACCGCCCAGCACCCGGGCCGGGCCAAACCGAACCGGTGGACCCACCGGGCCACGGGCAGGGCCGGGCCAAACAGTGACCGGGCCGGTTCGGTCCCGGGTCGGGCCGCCCGGCCCGAGTCCACCCCTACACCAAACATAGTTGAGATTAGTGGGTATTCTTCCGAGTAAAAGCATCTAACGTTAGACACAATGAACGTTAAGTATTTTTGCAATTACCATTTGGTGGTATACTTGCTTACACTTTGCATGTAAATTTGGATTTCCCTACTAATTTTTGCAATTGCCATTTGTGATATACTTGCTTACACGTTGCATATCAATTTGGATTTCCTTGTTAATTTTTGCAATATAATAGGAATGCCCGGGCGCGTTTTGTATGATCACCGTCCCTTTCAGCTAAATGAAGATGATTATATGAGGGTCTGTCAGATCCCCAAATGCAAGGTACATGAATATGCTTAGTAATGCATTTAGCTATTCAATATAAAAACCTTCATACTTATTCCAGTGTCTACATGTCATATTTTAGGGAGCTAACTTTAGGAATTTGACTGGTGTAATTGTTCGCGATAACAGAGTTGAATGGGACCCAAAAGTTAAAAGAGTGTACTTGCCTTCAGGCAAACCATTGGTAGGGTGTTCTTAGTATTATGCTTGGTTTGCTGCTTCAATTGATTCCCAGACCTTACCACTCATCTCTAAACTTCAGGTTCCTGACTATGTAATGACTCTCGTGAGAGGAACTACCACAGCGTAATTAGAAACACTTCTTTCTAATTTCAATGCATTTTTCCAATTTTCTCACTGTTAGTCTTTTTAAAATATTTGCTATTTGTAGGCCATTTGCTCGGCTTTGGTGGGATGAAATTGTTCCAACTGTTGTGACAAGGGCTCTGCCCCATAACCGGGTATTTTTTGCTATAAAGATATTGGCATTTGGCAGTAATGCAGTATATCATACCTAAATATAGACATGATTCTGTACTAAAATATTCTGTGTATATTATTTCTATACGGCCAGGCTATTCTACATCCGGAGCAGGATAGGGTTCTTACTGTTCGTGAAAATGCACGGCTGCAAGGTTTCCCAGACTACTATAAACTTTGTGGCCCTATAAAAGAAAGGTGACCCTACCGCACTACTGATTAGTCAAATTTTCAAATATGTTTTGCCATGGAAAAAAAGTTTGTTACCAAGTGAAATTATTAAAAACTATTCACTTGGAGTTTTCAGTTCCAAATAGACAAAGTCATACCACCATTAAATAATAATACAACAGACATAATATAAAACAAGGCCAAGCCTAGATCAGACAAGATTTAAGTACACCAAGTCAGACTGTTAAATAACAATAAAATAAAAATAATATAAAACAAGACCAACCTATATGAGGCTAGACTTAAATACATAACATATACTGAGTATTATTTCAAAATTCCAGTCTTAGACTAGATTTTAAGGACTAGACTAGACATGGGCAATAATTAAAGACACATAACATTAGACTTTACTATATCAGAAAATTTCATTCCTGCTTAAAACATCCCAAGTTTCTGTCTAAATGGACATGTCTTTAGTTTGATTAATATAACTGACATGTATCTTTCTATATATAGTCATTGCTGCATTATGACATTGCCTTTCAGGTACATACAAGTGGGAAATGCAGTTGCTGTGCCAGTAGCAAGGGCTTTAGGGTACTCACTTGCTATGGCCTTTAAAGGAGAATCTGGTACAAAACCTTTGTTCATTTTACCAGAAGGGTTTGCTGAAGTTTCATTGCCTTTCAACCAACAGTCTTCCCAGAATTCTCATTGACCCCATTATATGGTGGGGGAACTTGGCAGTCTCAAAGTAAATAACTGTTTCTTGGGGCTCAAGATTCAAATAAATTTAACGATAATCATACAAAGGAACATGGCAGTCTCACTCATTAAGTTACATAAGTTAATACATTTGTAGAACATTGCATTAGTACATTACCGTATAGGTAGGGCCATAACATACTCTTTGCACCTAATAGTGAGGTGATTATTTCATAATAAGCTGTAATAATTTTCCTCGTAAACCTTCAAACACATCTGTTGCCTGTACTGCTGGGGTTTCAATCAAATAATTTTATTTTCCCTTTTATTTCAAACACATCTATTTGACAGTTTTCCCTTTTATTTTCTTGCTGAAAGGTAATACCAGTATGAGATTAGCTCATTTGGTTGCAATTATTACAACATTATTAGATAAAGTAGATGAAAGTATGTGAGGCTCCATTGTTATATTATTAGTTAATTTTAATTTTTAAAATTTAAACAGATCAATATTACATTTTACTATCTCAACCAAACACACCAAATAATCTTATATGAAGTATTTTATAATCTCACGTTACTAACTAATCAATCCGATTGTCCAGATAACCTTACATTCTCTAAGGCATGAAGATAATCGCATTACCTGTTGTGATGCTTCATTCTGTGAATCAACCACTCCTCTGGGTTGTGGGAATAAACAGTATGAGAGTATTAGTGATGTCATCAGTTAATAAGCAGTTTCAGTTTAAAGTTTCAGACTTTCACAATGTCAATTATGATTTTGTGATATTGTCTATAATCTGCACCATAATTTTGGAGTCAGTTTGAACAGTAACACCAACAACAGTATATGTAGTCAATATGGTCTGAAACCAACACCTAAACATGTGATCTGCACTGAAATGGCCAGTTTGGAGTTTTTCACAATGAAACTATTGCAACCTCTTACATTGAAGTGGATTGATTTAGACGGTTCATTTGGCAAGTTTTTCAAACACAACTAAATGTAAAAGGTAGAAAACTAGCAGAACTCAAGATTGCTGGAGCAAAATACACATATGAACAACACCATTGATGATTATTAGTCTCGCAAGAGTCTACTTCTTTGGTGTTCATCCTAGTAGTAGTAAGTATAAGTTGATCTAAAGTCAACTGCACCAACCAAGGACAATTGAGACCAAAGAAAATATATCAAATGGATCATCAGATTCGATTGCTAAGTTAAAAAACTAACAAATCCAAACGAGACTAGTGATCCAAGCCAAACCAAACCTAACATGATCTGATTTTAATTTGGTAATCATTTCCCCAACTAATATTTATGCTCACGCCAAGGAGTTTCTCAAATACAAAGGAAACCCGAGTTTGATTGTAAGTTGTTTGATCCTCTTTGAGGACATGTATTCTGCTTTGGTTAATTTTGAGATTTTCTCTTTTAAAAGTTTACATGAATTAAGGTCTTGTAATCTCTATCACCAGAGGTACATAGACAAAAAAAGAGTTAGCACAAACATCAAAAGTTTATTTATTGAGTTTGAACACAGTCCATTTTATCCCAAATTTCCTTTCCTTCCACCTTTTCCTTCTATTTTCCCATCTTATAAAATTAACTGTCCATATCATTCTCCCAGTTCCAAACAGATCCACTATGATCCACATTGAAGGGAGAATGCCCAAGGGATCTGTGCAGCCAGACAAAACTAAACAAACACTAAATGTAAAGAGAACTAAAAACTCAATCTGTTGATTCAAACATTCTCAAACATGGGAGTAGAAGAAAATTTATTGAACAACAGTGCTGATAAAATACCAGAAGTTCGCAATGAATACAGATGATTGATTGAAAATGGACGGACTACAAGTCTACAATTAGGAGAAATGGATATTCAAGCAATTGAAGGTTTGGTGACCGGAAAAGGAGGCAATCTGAGAACAGCTTCCTCGCTCTCAATGGGGTCTGACCTCAATATCTAAGCAAAGACAAGGACAACAACATGGCTTCCATAAGCTATGTATCGGTTTGTTTATTTCTTCTTAAAAATTCAAAAGGAATCGGTGAAGAAGGAACTTACAGGGTCTTGCAGAATAGGCTTGGTATCATCCTTAGCAGGTCTGAAATAGGGTTTGCTACACACCTTTTTGGCTTCGGTTTCGATTTTAGTTGAAGTTGACGCCTCCATTACTGATTTCACTGCTCCGCTGTCGTGGTCAAGGTTATGCCGGGAGATGTTTAGTAAACTGTTACTAAACCGTGCTTATTATTAAGACCTGTGTTAATAAGCGGTGGATAAAATAAGCAATGTTTACTTCATAGGGTTTAAAACATCTTTTAACATTAAAATATCCAAAATAACTATATACATATATAGACGTACAACCATTCATGAACACAAGTATATAATATAATATGTGGGGTCACCTCGTACATGTAACCCTAACCCGTACCCCACCCCTAACCCCTACCCTACACCCTACCCCCAATTCCACACCCTTGACCCCTACCCTACCCTTACCACGATAGGGGGTGGGTGGGGGTAGGATGGCGGTAGGGTGGGGTCGGAATCGGGGTGAGGCTGATGTAGGGGCATGTGGTGGGGGGTATGGTAGGGGGTGAGGTAGGGTGGGATAGGGGTGGGGTGGGGCCAAGGTAGGGGCAAGTGGTAGGGAGTGGGGTAGGTCGTGGTTAGGAGTAAGGGATGGTGGGTGGGTAGGGTGGGGGTTAGGGTGGAGTCGGGGGTAAGGTAGGGTGGGTCGGGGGTAGGGTAGGTGGGGTCGGGGGTGGGGCCGAGGTGGTAGCATGTGGTAGGGGTAGGGTAAGGTGGGGTCAGGGTAAGGTAGGGTAGGGTAGGGGTAAGGTAGATGGCAATAGGTTGAGGTCGGGATCAGGGAGGGGCCGAAGTGGGTTAGGGTAGGGTAAGGTAAGGGTAGGGTAGGATGGCGGTGGGGTGGGACTGGGATTGGGGTGGGCCGAGGTAGGGGCATGGGTGTTGTGGGGTGGGGTCGGGGTAAGGTAGAGGGGTAGGATGGCGATAGGGTGGGGTCGGGATCGGGGGGGCCGTGGTAGGAGCATGTGGTAAGAGGTAGGGTAGGGGTGTAGCAGGGTGGGGTCGGGGTAAGGTAGGGTGGGGGTAGGGTAGATGGTGATATGGTGGGGTCGGGATTGGGGTGGTGCCAAGGTAGGGGTAGGCGGGTTAAGGTAGGGTGGGGTCGGGTAAGGTAGGGTGGGTCCGGGATTGGGGTGGGCTGAGGTAAGGGCGGGGTGGGGTTGAGGATCGGGGTGGGGCCGGTGTAGGGTAGCTGGGTCGGGGGTAGGGTAGGTAAGGGTAAGGGTAAGGGTAATGTATGAGGATGGAGGTAGTGGGTAGGGTGGGGTCTGGGTTTGAGGTGGTAGGGTTGGGCGGGGTGGAGGTAGCGGGTAGAGGGGTAACAATAGGGTAAGGGCAAGGGGTAAATTCGGGAACTGAAAAAGTTTAAAATGCCGCTTAATTAATACATGGGGGGGGTATGCTTAGTAAGCGATACTTTAAGCACCTCTTTGTAAGCGGTTTTTTAAGCAGCGTGCGTGTTTACTTCATTTGTCTTACTAACCTAACTGTGACTTTAGCAGCGAAGTAAACGCCTCCTAAATGTGTATGAGTCTATTTGCAACAGCTTCTGCTTTAAAAAAGTGTTTTTTTTTTAAATGAAATGGGGAGAATTGACTAAATAAAAGTTGATAGTGTTTGAGAAAAAAGTAATTTTGAAAAGTAAAAGTTGGTGCCGTATCGACGTATCGGAAACGTTTCCGTATCTGATACTCTAGGATACCCGTACCGTACGTTCCCGGGCCGTATATGCAATTTTTAAAAGTTTCCAATTTTTTTGTTTATTATTTTACAAATTTCGGATACTCGTATCCTGACGGATACCCGTATCAACTTTAAAATAAAAAACTTCTAAAAAAAACTTTTTAAAAAAACACTCAAAACATACATAATAAAATTCTTAAAAAATGAAAAGCTAAAAATAATTTTTACCTTGTTTTTATGTGGTACACAACTAATGGGTCTATTCCCATTTCACCCATCCTCCTATCCCTAATTCTAATTATCTCTGGAAATTAATAGCTCCAACAGAAATATGTATTAGATCTTTTAAAATATTGTTTTCTATCTTCATTATTTCTAGAACTTTCAGTACTTACACTTTAAATTTCAAAAGTGTAGTTGTTTGACTTATTTTTAATATTTATAAATATTACCGATACATTTTTTTTACTTATAGGATAATAATTTTTTTCAAAAAAAATGTATTTTTAATATTTATAAATACACCCATGTAACTTTTAATATTTATAAATACACCCCCATAACTTTTAATATTTATAAACATGGCCCCGTATCCGTATCCTACTTTTTTTGTTTTGTCATATCCCCGTACCCGTTTCCGCGTTTCCGCGTACTCGTATCGGTGCTACATAGGTTGGTAGTGTTTGGTAAAATAAGTGATTTTTGTGTAATAAAAAAAAGTAAAAGCACTTTTGACACGAAAGCCGAGAAAAATAAAAGTTGGTAATGTTTGATAAAATAAGTGTTTTTTAAAGTCAAAAGCTGAGAAGTGCTTTTTTTTAAAGCATTTGCAAAACAACCCTACATATGAAGCACGACTGGTTTTGATAGTGACATTCTTGTAAAAAGTCACTTTTTAGGGTCCGTTTGGTAACACCCAAATCGGCTTTATTGACAGATTTGGTTGAAATTTATGAAGTTCTGACCGAAGTGACTGTGTTGGCGGATTCTGTTGACTTGCAAAAAAAGTATTTAAAATACGGAGTATATTTCACTAGTAAAATAAAGAAAAAATTGCTAAAATGGGCCTCTACGGTAACTTCAACCAATACAGCTAGAAAAGTAACTTCAACCTTACTTTTTCTTATTATTACACAATAAAGTTTTAAATACATTTCAACTTAAGTGGAAAATAAATATGAACATAACACCAAATATAAAATTTTAAATTTATTAAACAAATATATTTAGAAAATGAAATGTGTAATCGTTAAT